CTGTCTGATTTTTTTCTTCAATAGATTATCAATTTAAAATAAGCAATTTCAACTGACAAATATCCATGTCAACATCCATGGTTTACTTATCTAGAACTTGTTTATACTTGATGGCACTTTCCATTGGGAAAAATCAATAGATTTAGTAAACAAGGTTTGGAATAACATTTTACAATAAATATTAACATAGTACAATATTATTATAATTTAATATTATAGTATTATTACTATTAGCATTTCACTCGGCTAAAATAGGCTAGTATTTAATTTTCTAGCTTCTTGCTGACCTATTCTGTCGTTTAGCTGAGCCAAGTTTGGATTTATGCTCAGCTGTTATATTTGTCTCAAATAATTTTAAAATCACCCAGCAGTCCATTTTTCCCTCTAGGAAATTATTTTGGCCTCATAAAAATTTGTAATGTATCTTTGTCCTTTCCATTCCCACACCACTTTTTTCCTTCAATTTTCATCGAAGGGATGAACTACTTCTATATTTTATAATCTTACCATAACTGTGTTTTATACCACTTGAACAAATATGGTCTTCAGCATGATCAATATTGTATATTAAATGATGTTAATAATTTACAGAATCACATTTATAGTAATATATAATATTCATATTACTTACTATCATTTTTCTGGTGAATTCTTCAGTCTTGGCTATTGCTATATAAAGATTCTAGAAACTTTTGTGAATTGTGAAATTTACAAGGACATTAGCAAATTTAGGCAAAATAGTTGTGACTGACTCTTTTTTAGTAGTGAGAAGGACAATGGATAGATTGTTTCTTGGCCATTAGACACCACTGACAATAAGAGATGAGAAGCTGTAAGTGACATAGAGATATCAAGCTTAATTTTCACTCTTTGTAGGAAACAACTGGAAAAATGTAAGTCTTGACTGAGTGGACTTCAGATATCAGAAAAACAGCAGCCAGTAGCATCACTTAAACCATATTAAAGCTCCTTCATATAGATAGCTTGTCATGCTGAGACAACAGCAAGAAGCAGAATTTAGGCATTTAAAATAAAAATAGGCTTTGGCAGCTCTCTACGGAATGCGAATTTGTAACTGAATCCTGATAACCACTTTGGTACAGTGGTTAAAGTTGCCAGGCTAAAAATTGGGAGACTAATGCTACCTTAGATATGAAATCAACTGGGTGAATTTGGATCAGTCACTCTCTCTCAGCCTTAGAAAGAAGGCGGCAGTGGCAAACGACTTCCTAAAATGTTGCCAGAACACTCCTGGGAGTTGTACAGGCAGTGACTAGGATTTAAGATTGACCAGAAGACACCATAAATAAATAACCTATTATTCTCCCCCCTCCCCCCCAAAAAACCCTGCACACTCACTCATGTTTGAATCCTAAAGCATTTTTAAATAACTGTTTGCAATCATTTTGGTATCAGCTCCAAACCAGATTGATTTCATGCTATCATTTATTTTTAGATGCAAAATCGTTCTGTTCTGAGTCTAATCCAAATTCTTTGGAATCATTACAAAACTAATATTTTACTTAGAATTGCTGTAGCTATGTAAATCTCGCAAGTGGTTAATTTTCTCATTGGCTGAAATCCTTACCTCACCTGCTTTCTAGCACTTAAAGTAGAATAGAATAGAGCTGGAAGGGACCTTGGAGGTCTTCTAGTCCAGCCCCCTGCTCAAGCAGGAGAACCTATACCATCTCAGACAGCTGATTGTCTAGTCTCTTCTTAAAAATCTCCAGTGATGGAGCACGCACGATTTCTGGAGGCAAGCTGTTCCACTGGTTGATTGTCCTCACTGTCAGGAAGTTTCTCCTTAATTCCAGGTTGCTTTTCTGTTTGATCAGTTTCCAACATTGTTTCTCATCCTTCCCTCTGGTGCTTTGGTAAACAACGTGACCCCCTCTTCCTTGTGGCAGCCCCAGATACTGGAATACTGCTATCATGTCACCCCTATTTCTTCTTTTCTTTAGACTAGCCAAACCCAAGTCCCGCAGCCGTTCTTCGTATGTTTTAGTCTCCAGGCCTTGGATCATCTTAGTTGCTCTTCTCTGATTTTTTTCCAAACTTTCAACATCGTTTTTTGTGATATGGTGACCAAAATTGGCTGCAGTATTCCAGTGGTCTTACTGGGGTTTTATACTAGTTATTAGTTAAATTGAATTATGTTAAACGAGGCCTCCAAAGTCCCTTCTAGCCCTATGATTCTATGATTTCCCCCCTTTTAAGTTCAGCATCCTGTTCTCCGAGCTTGACTTTTCCTGTATGTTTAATTTAATATTTCTACTTTTCCCTAGTCCAGCAAAGGTAACCATGGTCACAGCTGTAAGGAAAAGTATCCACTTGAAAATCTGCCAGGACAATGAGGTTTTTCAGTGCTTTGAGACTGGTAGAAGTAATAACATTTATTGGTTGGACTTGGAATCACACTGCTTTATGAGGGATTAAAGGGATGGAAACGCTGGTGTTGTGGAAGTGGCTCTAATTCACTTGAGAGGTTCATTCTTCCTGATAGGCTTTGCCATGGCTGCCAGTCTCTAACAACATGCTCAATTGTATGATCAACATAGATCGTGTTGGATAAGCATCTCAGTTGTACCAAATCTTGTGGCAAAGATCTGGTAAGAACAGAGAACTCCTCAACGGGATAAACTAGGATTCAGTTATTTGCTTGCTTTTTCAGCTGGAGGAAGGGCTTGTCAAAGCCTAAATCTGAGCATATCTTCAAAATGATTTAAGTCCTTATTTTTTCTTTACAGACATTTCAAAATAAAGAACTACAACCATAAAGTAGACTTAATGTGTTGATGATTTCAAACTTATCAGTTTAATGCTATTTCTCTGATCTCTAAAAATCACCCAAAACGTGCAAATGACATTTTCTAAATATTTGTCAGCTTTGCACTACTAGAATAACTTAGGATAAAAACAGTTTTTCTATGAATTAGGTTATGATGGCAAATACATAATATTTGCTAAGAGTGAACAGGAAATACATGTATGTTGCCTCTGTTGGCTGGGTTTTGATAGCTCCCATAAATCTTGGGTTCTGAATGTTTTCTTGTCATCTGAAGTTGTGTTTTACATGTTATTTATTCTTATTCTTCACATTGTTTTGACCCTTGACCTTGGAATGAAATGAGCTTATTTTCTTGAATTGGTTATTTGGCCTCTTGATTTCCCTTCATTTTCACTTGTCATGTTGTTTCTTTTCCTTCTTCATTCCCTGCTTCCCTAGTGATTTCACACAAGGCTGACTGAAAACCTCTTTACATGAGAAGTGTGTTTTTTTGTAGCAGAGATAGCTGTTTGGTTGTGCCCAAAGCATCCTTCCCCAATCTGATGCACTCACCGAATTCTAGGCCAGCGTGCCCATGCCATCCCAACACATCTGGAAGGCACGTTAAGAGAAGATTTATAGGGAGCCAGGCTTATTTTGTTTACCCATTTCCCTGTGTATTTTATTTTAGAAATACTGTACCTCATAATTACAAACACCAAATGAGGTGGGGTGACCATCTTGTTTCATGCTTTTATTCCAATGGTATATATTTTTTTTTAATATTGTGAACTGCCCAAAGTCTGTACATGTAAAAAGATCAGAGTTGTGCAAGCCATGATGTTCCCTATGATATGGAACTGAAAATTGGGCTTTAAAGAAGCAGAATAGGAAGAGTATTGATGCTTTTGAAGTTTGGTGTTGAGAATGCCTTTATGACTTTTTTTTAAAAAAAGCATTAAATATTTGTGGAAACTCTTAATTTGTAACTTGCATTAAAATGCTGTTAATGAATTATTCTATTTTAAAACTGTCAGATACATTTCAGCACCAGTGAAATGGAGGGGGTACTTATCTTCTACAGCAGAATTTAGCTCACAAAATTGGAATGCCATTGTACTTTCTCGGCAGGTGAGAACATCAAGGCTCTGCCAAGAATTTGTGGTCTCCTTGATGTAAAAAAGATGTTGAGACTCTAGAAAGAGTATAGAGAAGAGCAACAAAGATGATTAGGGGACTGGAGGCTAAAGTATATAAGGAACGGCTGCTGGAATTGGGTATATCTAGTTTAATGAAGAGAAGGGCGAGGGGGGACATGATAGTGTTCCAGTATCTCAGGGGCTGCCACAAAGAAGAGGGAGTGAAGCTATTTTCCAAGGCGCCTGAAGGCAGGACAAGAAGCAACGGATGGAAACTAATCAAGGAGAGAAGCAACCTAGAACTAAGGAGAAACTTCCTGACAGTTAGAACAATTAACCAGTGGAACAACCTGCCTCCAGAGGCGGTGAATGCTCCAACACTGGAAGTTCTTAAGAGACTGGACAGCTATTTGTATGAAATGTTATAGGGTTTCCAGTCTGAGCAGCAGGTTGGACCAGATGACCTCCAAGGTCCCTTCCAACTTTACTATTATTATTATTAGTAGTAGTAGTATTAGTAGTAGTGGTAATATTAGTATTATTAGTATTATTATTATAAAACTTACCTTTACAAAATAATTATGAATGCTATCATAATGTGCAAATCATAAAGGATCCTTATACAAAGGAAAAGAGCGACATGTAAAAAAACGATTTAAGCAAATGCCTGCTCAGAATTGCTCTTTCCTTCCTCACCAACTGTGGGAAATCAAGTTTTAATTCCCTATGAACTTTACGAGGGAAGTCAGTGCTTGCACAGATACCGGCTGAGAAGTGGCCCATGCTCAGAAAGAGAGACTTTATTATCATTTCAAAACATAAACAAGCGCTAGAATTCCAGGGGGACTCCCCATATAAATGAAACCCCAATTACGCACGAATGAAAGAGCGCCATCTATGTCACTTCTTCCTCGGAAATACGGCTGGGGTTGATCATTCCTTTTCCTCCTGAATGAAATGCGTGCGGAAATAGCGCCCTCCCTTTTCCCCCTCTTTTCCGTTTGGCCAGGCAAGAGAGCCAACCAGCCCGCGGCTGGCGAATGAGCGGGGCGGGGACTGAGCTCCGCGTAGGCCCGTCCCTCGTTCACCCGCCTCGCCAGTGCCGAGGAGCCAGTCTGGAGACGCGCTTGGGTGGTGTGCTGGTTGTAGAAAGAGCCCGGCAGCGCGCGAGGGAGCGAGCGAGTGCGAGCAAAGAAGGGAACGCGACGCGGCGGGGATTTCCAGACTGGGCTCGAGGGCGGGAGAGGAAGTGCCGGGCGGGGGGAAAGAGAACCAGCCGGGGCAGCGCACCAGGGACTTTCCAGCCGGGGCAAGGCAGACTACGTTTGGCTGAACTGCTGCAAGAACAGCAGTGGTCGGTAGTGCTGGCGGCCGCGGTTCTTTCCCCCCCTTCTTTTCCTCAGGCGCAGAGTAAGTAGGGGAAGAAGGGAGAAGGTGGCTGGCCGTTGCTCGCCCCCAGGCAGAGGCGGAATCCGGAGCTGGTGGGGAGGGAGCGTTTCCCAAAGCCGAGGCAGAGCGGTTGGTCTCACCCGTTTCTACTGCCTTGCTAAGTCGGGCGGGAGCTTGCTGGGAGGGAAGCCGTCGTGTGCGTGAGGAAGGGAGGACGCAACGGCCGGAGGTCCCCTTTGGAGAGCCCACGGGGGCAGCTACCCGAACCGTGGATCTGCTGGGGAACGGGCAGACGCCGCGGTCAGAAGGTCCCCGCTGCTAGTCGGAGGGAAAGGCGGGAGAGGTCCGCCGTCTCAGTTAAGCGCGTGTCTCGAGAGGTGGGGGCTTGCCTAGAACTGGGTAGGGGCTGCATCTCCATCTCCCCCGAGCTGTTGCTTCTCTCTTGCCTCTTTTTCCAATTAAGGCAGCCGCCCGGAAAGAAGGCTGTTGCTTAGGGACTATGCGAGGAGTATATTGGTGCTGCTGCCCGGAGGCATTCGTATTCAGCCTCCATGCGCCCTCAAAACTGCTTTTCCGAGGTAGATTCGTTCTGCTGCTGCTGCCGCCAAGAATCACTACTGGCTGCTTTGCTCGCATATTCATCACCCTTCAAGCTGTTGCTGCTATTGTTGCTCCTCTCCCTCCTCCCCCTCCTTCCACTATCGCTTTGGAAGAAGAGAGAGGTGGTGTGTCTGGCTGCTTTAAGAGACGTGGTGTGCCTTTTTTCTTGAAGCTGTTGCGAGGCCGAAACCTCTCGTAACGTTTCAGGATCGTATCAGCAGGACGTGGTGCTGCCGGCGGGGAAGAAAGCATGCCGGTTTTTTCTTGGGCCGCTGCTGCACTGTAAAGGTGTCTGCCTGCATGCATTTGATGTGTGTGAATGCAGAACGCTCTCCTAATTTCTGGCTCCCCCCATATGCAGTCGATGTGGGCGGACTGGAAGGATTTCAAAGGGGAAGCGTCTGCCTTGAAAAAAAATGGGTGGGGGGGGGGACTGCTGCTTTTAATTTACTTGTGGCAAACTCTCATTGTAGGTACCAACTTTGTATCTTTCCAAATACTTGTTTTGCTTGATCACTTTGCAGTCATTGAAGGATGCTCAGGCAGCTGCATTTTGAATTTCTATCAGTAGTAGTCATGCAGGATAAAGACTGTTGCAGGTGCAACTGAAGAGGGAGGACACTTGTAAAAGATGTGGAATGAATGAAATGCAATGGAGATTTCTTTATTGTGGTTTTTTTTTTATAGGGGTAGCTTTATAGCAAGTACAGAAGAAGGAGCAGTTAAAGGATACAACATGAAGGTATTACGGGGGCGTTGGGTTACAAATTGTTTTGCTGTTGTCACCACAGTAGTACTTTAAACGTGCCTCTATTTTAAGAAGTAGAAAAGCTTGAATTATACACGATTACATCATTTTATAGTGCCGTGAAGAATTTGATTAAAAGTTTATACTGAGTCATGCCTCTGCAGATAAATCTTACTGATTCTTAAAGCTGATCGTAATGCTTTTTATTTGTTTGTCTGTTTTAAATGAGGAAGGGAAGTTGGTAACAGATCAGTTAGTAAAATGTATATTAGAAAAAGATGAACAATTTAAGAAAATCATAGTTGCATTTGTCAGTCTAGTCATGTCTACATAGTGTTTTACTAAGATGTTGCTGAAATATTCAGATGTTATTGTCAATAGCATGGATTGCTGTCCTTTCATTCATTTAAATGTATTTTGAAAAGCTTTGTTCTTTATCATGTTCTGCTAGAAAATTATATATGGATTGTAGGACGTTGGTGGTTTATATGTGATGGCAATGGGAGGAATAACCCTCAAGCTAGTAAGGACTGAATGTTCTGCATTTTGATCAAAGATTGTGAAAAAAGGATGCGTGTTACAAATTTTATGGATAAATGTAATATTTTTTAAGCCCAATTCTCCCAGTTATTGAACTCGATGATTAAACATGTCTCTGAGATCAGGACTGCACCAGTAGTACTGTATGCTTTAGGCATGTCTGTGGAGAGAAGCAGACTCTGCTCTAGCCTATGCTACTGAATGCTATAATGTGAATGACTTTGACTTTTTAATTGATCTCTATACAGGCTATTTAGAAAAATGCATTACTACAAGCTGCATGTAGTAGATAAATTATAACATTCTGACATTTTTAGTCCATATACTATCTTGTTTTTCTTTTTTAATCGTTCCATTCTAATTTACTGAATGCTAATGGTTGGTTTTGAAATTGCATGTATTTAGTTATCTAAAATAATAGAAGATAGATTTATGAAATCATATTCAGATTTAAAATATTTGAGAAGCAAAAGCTGGATTTTAGTGCTTATAGTAAAGATATTCTGTGTATGAAAGAATTGTTTTTAGTATATGGTAGTGAGATTGTAGGGTCATTTTGGGAAACTGCTTGTATTGGCAAGGAATGGAAAGAGTGTCAGGTTAAACAAATGAAATAATATTTGCATATGTCCTTAAAAGTAAGTTGTACTGATGTTATATATATTCCTTGTTTGCAATTATAAGGATCTAATCTCAAGTCAATGAAGGTGTTAAGAAAATTGAAAACCATGCTTTTTCTAAAATCTATAAGTAAGAAAGCAATATTTATGACAGTTTTTCACTGAGATTTAGAGGTGAAGAGCAGACAATTATGACATTCTAAAGAAAACATTAGACTAACTTATTGCATATGTACATTATTTTTGTATGCAGTGGACATATGCAGCATACCATGAAGCTAAAATCAGGAATTATGACATTTATCGAAGTGTAAAGTGTATACTTAAGAACATGACTGACCTGCTGGATCAGACCAAAGTCCTCCCTAAAGTGGCATCCTGTTTCCTGTGGTAGCCAAGCAGCTGTCCCTGGGAAGCCTTGCAAGTAGGATGTAAGAATCATAACCCGACATTGCTGCTGTCCAGCAACTGGTATTCAGGTTCATGCTGCTTTTCATATTAGAAATAATACATAATAATGACAACTGCTGCCCATTGATGACTATGTTCTGCCTATAGTCATTAATAAGGAATAGCTTCAGTGAATTTCCAGTATTTCAGAAGGTTCGGAGAATGAGGATTCCATACTGGTCAGGATTCTTAATTCTTGGATTCATGTCAGTTCTGCACAAAGATCTCTGCTTTTAAATAACATTTACACCAGTATATTTCAAGATGGAAAGAAACTACATATAGTTTGGAGATAATGAAATTAAATAATTGAAGTATGTATATGGTACTGGATAGCATGATATGCTGTTCAGTTGCTTTTTTTCCTTCCTATTTTATTCTGAACTTGGATTACATCTATAAAATCAGTGGAAGTCTACATAAGAAATAAACAGTTCATTTTATAACTCTCTTCTGAAACTTTTGATACTGTCTTTTCTTAAAATGACTCAGTGGGGCAATACAGCAGGGTAGCCATCTAGTTCTCTTTTGAGAAGTTTGCTCAGTTTTTTAGAAAATGAAAAAATAGTTTATATTCTAAATATTCATTTCAAATGAATGGATCAGAAAGATATATGTAGGATAGAAGCAAGATAATGCTTGTCCTCCAGTGGCCATTGATATCTGGGCATATTATTTGCATAGCTGTATATAAAATGCAATGTGTGCAGTTCTGTTTTGTGTAATCATGAGGAATTTCACAAATCACACTGTCAATATTTAGAGGACACAAAAATATGGCTGAAACCCCCCCCCCACTTTACAGTTAACTTTTGTATGCTAAAATAAATGTGGACAGCCCAGAACAACTTATAGCAGAACTTATTTTTGTAATGGAGGAGGCTAGATTTTGGGGTGTTTGCATTTGCTGCCAGCTTTCAATGGCATGGAATTGTGTGTGTGTGTGTGTGTGTGTGTGTATGTACAGTGCATTCAGAAAGTATTCAGATCCCCTTCACTTGTGTCAATTTTGTTATGCTGCAGCCTGATTCTACAGTTGTTGAATTTTTTTTTCTCATTAATGGGGTAATTCAGTACCCCATAATGACAAAGTGAAAACAGAAGTTTAGAAATATCAGCAAATATATTAAAAAGAAAAAACTGAAATATCACGTTGGCATAAGTATTCAGATCCTTTGCAACAACACTTGAAAGTTAGCTCAGGTGCCTCCCATTTCTCTTGATTGTTGCTGACATGTTTCTACACTTTGATTGGAATCTACCTCTGGTAAATGGATTGGACATGATTTGGAAAGGCACACACCTCTCTATAGAAAACCTCAAAGCTGACTATGTATATTGTAACAGAGCAAAAGCCATGATGTCAACGGAACTGCTGAGTTCAGAGACAGGATTATTGCAAGGCACAGATCTGGGGAAGGCTACAATAAAATTTCTGCTGCACTGAAGTTTCCTAAGAGCAAGTGGCCTCCATAATTCTCAAATGGAAGAAGTTTGGCTTAACCAAAACTCTTTCAACAGCTGGTCGACTGGTGAATCTGAGCAATAGGGGGAGAAGGGTGACCAAGAATCCAATGGTCACTCTGAGTTCCAGAGATCCTGTGTGGAAATGGGAATACTTATGCCAATGTGATATTTCAGTTTTTTTTCTTTTTAATACATTTACAGACATTCTAAAATTCTGTTTTCATTTTGTCATTATGGAGTACTAAGTGTAGATTAATGAGAAAAAAATTAATTACACACACACACACAGTTCAATCGGAAAAGTAATAAGCCCATTATCTCTTAATGGGTAATATTACATACCAGCAGAAATGTCTGTTAAATATTGGATGGATTTTATCATTTGAACTAAATTATCTGTGGCCCAAAACTTTATTAAGATGTAAAGAAGCAACTTTTAGAAGAACTTGTATAACTTAATAAACATTCACTGAAGCAAAAATAATCACACTAAACTTCCTTTCCCTCATCTTCTATCCTTGTCTAGCTACCAAACCAGACCAAATAAAATGCTTTATGGTACTTAACATGCTGTAGAGTCTTCAAAAGAGAAATATTCCACAATTCTGGATATGTCTGTGACTACCATAATGTGTTTACATGGGGCTGCCCTTGAAGATATCCAGAAGTTTCAATTGGTTCAGAATGCAGCAGCCTGAACAATTTTGTGCACCTCTTTTGCTAGAGTTGTACTGGCTGCCAGTCTGCTTCCAGGTACAATTCAGGGTTCTTGGTTATCACCTTTAAAGCTCACATGGCCTTCCCCTGTTTCATCCCCCTTGGCCACCAAGACGGGAAGGCAGGATATGTTGTGGATGCCATCTATTAGGGAATGGACATCTGGTGAGACCACAAAAAGGGTCTTCTCAGTAGTTTTCCTCTTCTCTGGAAGTATGATTGGCCCCTACCTTGTTGCCTTTCCAAAAGGGCCTGACGACAGGGTTTTCTCCGAGGGTCTGGGGATTACAAATGGAGATGTAGCCGATCAAGTGCTGCTGTGGGTGGGGTGGGGTGGCTAGATTTTTAAATTGTGGATTTTTAATGTTGTAATCTGCCCAGAGTCATCTTTGTGTGAGTTGGATGGCCATATAAATTTGCTAAATAAATAAATAAATTGAAATGAAGTAAAATGAAATGAAATATATGCTTGGTGGTGCAAATATCTTCCCCTGCAGCCCACAGGTGGAGATCCAGAATATGGGCAGAATAATTGCAATATGAGCAATAGCAACGTTGCCTACTAGATTTTTACAAAAGTTAAATATGAAGCAGATGCAAAAGCATTTTCTAAATCTAGAACTGATCCCAAAACATGCTAGATATTTCTCAATGTGAAAATGGAATCTGGGTCCAAGTGCACTGTAGTACTTCATACTCAGAGAAATCTGACAGAAAAGATGTGCAATGGCAGCATGGAATACATAATAATCAGCCTCTGAAGAATTGCATAGACTTTAAGGTGAGCTATCCCTGCAACAGAAAGGAAAATGCATATGGATGTTTTCTGCTTACCAATAGCTCTTTTTTTAACAATAAACAATATTTATAACTTTCTCCCAAGCAAATATATGCATACCTGTAACTTTTCCAAAAGTATTTGTAAAGCATTAAGCTTAAGTTATTTCCTAAATCCATAAGCAATTAAACTGGATGGCTGTTTCTTATAAAAGGAAGATCCTAACAATCACAACCGAAAAGGCTCTTCCTTTACTGATAATTTTATAGTTATGCTACTCTTTCTCTGTTTACATTTTTGACTCGTTCAGTTCCTTTTTATACATTTCAAACTACAAAGAAAATCTGCAGAATCCATGCTTTCAAAGGAATATGTTTCAAAGATAGCTATGGCTCTCTAGAGATTATTGTTTAGAGTTAATAAAAGCAAATCTGTTTCAACTGTCTTAATATAGACAGTCGTTGACTTAAGACCAGTCACTTAGCAAACATTTGATGTTCCAGTGGATCTACTTATGACCAGCTTTGAAATTCCAACAATCAGGGCCCCCATGGTTATGTGTGACTATACTGGGGGCACTTGGTAACTGGCCCACTTTTATGGCTGTTTATAGGGTCCTGCAATCGTGTGATCATGTTTTATAACAGCTTGCCAAGATCGGTATTTACTTCTGAATTTTGGCAAAACTATGCCCATAGCCAATCATTGGTTTGCTTAATGAGTGCGGTGTTCGCTTAGAGACAGTGGTGATTCACTTAATGACTGCCACAATAAAGATAATAAAACAGGACATATGACAAACCCATTTTATGACTGTCACGAGTTACAACTGCAATGGACAGGCTCCATTATAGTTGGAACACAAGAACTATCTGTAGATGCATACAGCACTCACTAAATTGGAATTGCGGCATAAATGAGCTATTGTACAGCTTACATTTTTAATGTAAGAATTTTTAATGAGTTTACCAGATACAAAGATAAAAACCAACACACACTAAGAAAATATAAAAGTACAGAATGTGAAAAAAATGTAAAAAGAAAACAGTAAAAAAAAATGATATATAAAGAAATGGCTTCTTCCTTCATCAAGACAAGTACAAACTATTCCAGTAACTTATCACCTTCTCTGATAACTACAAAATCATCTCTACTTCCCATATCACATCTCTTTGTAGTCTCACCATTCAGTCTCAATCAGCAAAAATCCTTTAAGAATTACCAGAAACAGCAACACTGATATTTTAACTTTAAATAAACCAACTTTATATTTCTTCCCTTTTCTTTTAAGAATTTTTTAAATTCCTTTAAATATTGTACCAAAAATTGATTTCATTTTTTCTTTGTCACTTCTCAGAAACTCCTTCATAAGTTTAACATGTCTCTCTTGTAAATCTAAAAGTTATCCAAGTCACTCCTCCGGTTTGTTATTTATATGTCCCTTCTAATTATCAAAACATCAGCTGGTTTCATTTGTAAATTCAGTGTAACATCTTTTTCCATATCATTCTTGTAACTGTCAATTTTAAATCCACATTCAAAACAGCCTCAGTCTCAAACTTATCCTCTTCTATCACCTCTTAAATCCATTTTTATGATAGTGTCAATCTTTAACGTCTGACTTAATTATTCCCAATTAACATTGGATTCTTCCAAAGTTAGAATATATTGATCCACTCTATACTAATAGGTCTCTTCTCTTTTAGTTATAATCTTTCTGGTTTCTCTAATGTCCAACTTTTAAAATTCCTTCTTGCCATGCTTTTTTTTTTTTTAATGAACAGCATTTTTCATGGGAGGATGCTTACCCTTAATTTCAAAATTTTCACATATTTTTATAGAATTTTAAACAGCTCACAGAAAGGATTCTTGTAATTAATTTCAAAACCTTATTTCAAATCTATCTGCCCCTCCAGTCCATTTACTGTATAACTTTCTGAAATTAATGTTCTGACCACCTTTTTCTTTCTTCCTAAATAAATTTGCATAACATTTTTTTTTGTGCCAAGGATTGAAGAAGACTCAGTATAATGAAACTTGCCTTTCTGAAGGTTATTGGTATCCCAAAAGCTGTTAACAAGCTATTTCCAGAAGTGATTAAGAAAGGAAGTATGGAAACTCAGTGTCCTTTTGAAGGTGCTAAATGGTGGTTGGTTAAAGATGGCCAGTCCCTTGGCTTCTAGAGCTCTAAAATGAGCCAATGACCACTGTTTTACTGTATTCTAGATGGAGTACTTGTGGGCAATCCCAGATTTTCTCCTTGAGCCGAGAGAACTTCTGAAGAGCCAGTCTATTTGTCAGCTCCTTGTTCCACTAGTCATGGGCTCTGCTCTCAGGGTGACTTGCTGGGAAATCAATTTAAAATTGAGATTCAGCTGGCAACTAGGAGAAAATTCCAAGCATGGACTATCAGTGTTCTTTTTGGAGGTGTGCTTTTGAATCAGTGTTAATTCCTGGCAACTGGACGAGTCCCTGAAGTCTTTTGGCAAGGTTTCACAATCAAATCTTGTAGTTTGCCATTGCCTCCTTTCTAGCCCTGAAGGAAAATGATTGGCTTAAGGTTACCCAGGTGTCTTTGTACCTGCTGTCTTAACTATACCAAACTGTTTCTTAGTGATTTAACACTATCTCTACTTGTAGAATTCAGACAAGCAGGAATAGCATAGTTTTTTGAATTAGCAAGGGCTTTCACTAATTTATTTATTATTTTTTTTTATTGCTCTTTCTCTTAAAATTCGGGATAGCATTTTACTTTTGCAAACTGGGATTTGCAGAAGTCCCAATTTGCTACATATGTGAGTAGGCTTTCAAATTGTTTCCAACTTAAAGCTCAGTTCGTTGTACCATGCTAGTTTGTGCACCTTTCCCTTCTCCCTCCTAGTATACAAAATCATCATTAATTTCAAGTTTTAATTACATATTAAATTTAAATTGACGTCACCAAAGTTGCTAATTTGTGGTTTGCTAATTTGTGACTAATTTTGCAGTTCCAAGCAGTTGAGCTAAAAAACCATGGTTCAATTAACTGTGATTGTAGTATACAAAACACAAGTTT